CTAACCAACTTCTAGGACCGATTCATACAAAGTATAATTGTTCTTTAAAGTCTAGTTTTAAATGTTACAAAGTTCGTACTACGTTTTGTGTATACTGAGTCCTAAAGATATTGACTCTTGGCGCTCTCTCATACATTACTACTAACGCCATCTATGTTGCGAATGACGAAACAAGACCGCAATATCACGTGTGACTCTTTTTTTAAACCACAAAATCACTCTAAAACATTGTTGTACTATCACTTTATTAGTTTTCATGACCCAGAAATCACAGATTGTTAGTAAAGTATTAATTAAATAACTATCAATCAATTTTCGCTAACATTTGCCACATATCAAACTACCACATCCATAGTTTCCCGTTCGATGACATTAATAAACTTGGTTTATACATAGGTACCAACTTGCGTATATCTAAATTACAATTAATATAGTTTGAATTGAATACTTGTCTGGCCACAAGCATGCCAAGTACACGAAAGTGCGGTAGGTGGAAATCCACAAAGCGTAGTTAATGTCCTTAACTTTACTTTGACTTCGACTTTGATACATCAGACTGGGTGAAATGCTCTTTGGAGTGAGATTGTTACGTCATCTATGTTGTGGAGAAAGCAATCTGTATGTTTATGGAAACTAAAATGGTTTTATGAACTAATAACTTATTTTTGGTGGTTCTATTATTGTGATTGTGACAAAGAACACGAGAGTGATATGATTTTTTTTGTTTTTAAAGTTAAATTTAAATTATTTGTACATACTATATTGACGATACTAGTTTATGGAGTTAACCGTTTTTTGCTTACCGAAACAAGAATGACAGTCCGAAGCGAAAACCAACAGCGTTTCCACATTCAAAAATTGTTTCTAGCCGTAAATTTTGCCAAATATTTAAATAAATTTCTATCATTTTTATGTAATGAATGGCTTATTATAGAATAATAAAAGTATGTAATAGAATCAGCAAACCATTCGAAAATATTCACTCAGTTTGACTAGTCTTTGTGCACTAGACAAATAGTCTAGAAGATTTCAAAACAAAGAAGTATTTTTTCACCCAGGGGTATATCTCTAATATTTATTATTAGACAAAACAAATAATAAAAAAATACATCAAAAGCTGATCCTTTGTTAATAATTTATTTAATCAATCAAACCATCAAGGAAGAGGAAAATTTATTCTTAAATTCACCTTCTTGTGGCTGACTAACTATCCCAAAAAAATATATTTGGGTGATCCTCGATTATGCGGTATATTCTATTTTTGGAAATATTTTTCCTCCTTCATCTTTGTGAGCTATCTAAGTATAACAACTTTATTTTCAGACCCCATCATCACGCTATCCCACAAATTGTTATAGGGCTTAAGCACTTACCTTTGACTTTCATAAAATCTTGATACATTAACTGGTACAAAGAATTAACAATGACCTAATTTTGTTAAAACTAAGGTATTTTTATTTAATATTCAAATTAAGCCAACTACAAGAACTAATTTAAAATTCAAAACAGAAATTACTAAACCTATTTTGACAGTTTTAAAGCTTCGTTTAATAAAATATAGATACAATATTCATTAGTAGAGTTGGCGAACAAGAAAACTGGTACAAAATGTCAGCGAAAATTAAGGTCGTTCGAATTATTGCTGAGTAAGCTGACAACGTTTCTACTGGATCGAGGATTAAGTTTATTAGTGTCAAAGTTTATGTACCAATCACAGGTTCCCAATTATATTGATTGGCTAGATAAATAATATTTAGTGGAATTAGACATCATGATTGGATTTTGATGCCTTCCATATTCCAGTGTTTCTTTTTAAGTAACACGTCCTTATGATTTACGATATCGAGCGTACGGTGCGTCACGTTCCGCGCGCGCCTCAAAGAGTCATCAGACCATTACAGATGGGGCCTAATAGGGCTGATACGGAGGACCTAACTGGTTACCGGGGCTCTGGCTCAAAATGCAGAAGTAGCAACGGGATGGTTTTTAGTCAATAAGAGTCTGACACTCCCTCTCACTTCACCCTGGTGGAAGAAATAATTCGATGATTTTTCCACATAAAAAAAATAGTTTACGATATCACACATCGATTTTTCTATCTTCGGTCTTTAGCTCAATTTCTATTTACTAATATTTTTTGTCTGATATTGTTATTTCTAACTTCGCTCACAACGCGCTCAATCTATTGTTACGCCCTAGTAATTGATATTACGCAGGCACGTGTCAATTATTATCAATAACATTTTTTTCTCAGAATTATGATATTAATTATTGTAGGAATATCGTCTGCCTATTGAAATCTGTAAACATAAAACGATTCATCTCATCTTCACAAAGAGCGAACACTAGATTGTTACTGGAATGATTTTAGCAAAAACACGACCGAAATCCGGCAAAGGTTGTCTTTACTCTAGACACAAAAAGCACTAAGTATGTTTGTTCAGGAATATTTTCCTTTCAAACTCAAAATTGGGGACGGGACAAATACCAGTACTTTATGTGTATAACGCGGTCAATATGTGATATCTGCAAGGAGTTATGGTACAATCAATCTGCTTCGGCAAATGTCCTCTGTTAGATATCGAAGAAATGTGATCATACTTTGTCATTCTTTTTTGGTGTGCAAGTGGAACCGAGGGCATATATCGTATGTCAGGTTTTGTTTGACAATTTATTGAGGTGGTTCATGTCCCTTTGTTTTTTGATCTCCACGTGGAAGCAATACCAGTATGGATGCCAGGAATTCGTTTAGAGCTTATATATTTTTCCTCATACTTTATTATGATTATTTACGGTAAGATTACATTACATAACGTCACGCCTTTTATCCCCGAAGGGGTAGGCAGAGGTGCACATTAAGGCACTTAATGCCACTATACAATATAACACCCACTTTTCATTATTTATTTATGTTATGAGTCCCATGTAATAGGGGGTGAGCCTATTGCCATATACCGGGCACAATTCCAGACTCCGTGGTACTACTGAGATTTTTTAAAAAAACCCATAAAACTTTGCCGTCCCGGGAATCGAACACGAGACCCGTTGCCCGGCAGTTGCACTTGCGACCACTCTGCCAACGAGGGAGTCATTACATTACATTTTAGTAAAACTACCTTCTGTTGTTATAAAGGCCTTTCAGTTAGAATATCTATTACTTTGGTACTAGTTTGTAAGAAGTTATATGAAATGGAAGACAAACTTAGGTACTATGGATTTAATTCAAGGCTCTTTGTCATATTTTTTGTTTTAAATTAACTCCTTTGTTCAAATTATCTCACTAATTACGATGATCAGTGATTCAGTTATAATAAAAAGCTACGATTTAATGAGAAAAGCAAAACTGAATGCTGAAATATTTTTTCATAAAAACATTTTTTTAATTTTAACTAAAAATGTTTGAGCACTTTACTAATTTGAGATTTAATATTAATCGTAGAAAGAATTATTATTATTATTAACATTAAGACCTTTTTAACTGAATACGTTTTGAAAACAAAATAGAGGCATTAATATGAGATTATTTTGTTAATGAAAAACACCGACTGCCTCGTTGACCGAGTGGTCGCAAGTGCGACTACTGGGCAAGGGGTCTCGGGTTCGATTCCCGGGTCGGGCAAAATATTGCGGGGTATTTAAAAATAATCTCAGTAGTGGCAATAAGCTCACCCCCTATTACATGGGACTCATCATCCTCTTCCTTGATGGTTTGATTGATTAAATAAATTATTAACAAAGGATCAGCTTTGATGTATTTTTTTATTATTTGTTTTGTCTAATAATAAATCTTAGAGATAGACTCCTGGTACAAAAAATACTTCTATTATTTTGAAATCTTCTAGACAAATGGCACAAAGACTAGTCAAATTGAGTGAATATTTTCGGATGGTTTGATGATTCTATTACACACTTTGATTATTCTATAAACTCAATAAACTACTGCCTACTTCTGACTGCCTCATAGGCCGAGTGGTCGCAAGTGTGACTGCCGGGCAAGGGGTCTCGGGTTCGATTCCCGGGTCGGGCAAAGTATTACTGAGTTTTTCATAAAATTCACAGTAGTAGCGCAGAGTCTGGAATTGTGCCCGGTATATGGCAATAGGCTCACTCCATATTACATGGGACTCATAACATAAATGGTGAAAAGTGGGTGTTACATTGTACAGTGGCATAATATACACCTCTGCCTACTCCTTCAGGGATAAAAGGCGTGATTTTATGTATGTGATAAACATATTGTTAACTAAACTGGAAAGGTTACTCCAACATTTTGTTTGTTATTACACTACGACGAAGTAAAACAAGGAAAATATTATTTTCACACAATTAAACTGTCAAACACCAAGCGGTCACCGGTGACCGCAACCTATTGTTCTATAATTGTGTCTATAATGACGGTACTCGACGAGTTAAAATATAATTTATGACTTTCCGCCGTTTTTAAAGTCAATTAATAGTTATTTATCTCAGTGGTTAGCAATTGTTTTATAACAAAATTATTATTAAGTCTTAGTAATCGATAAATATATCTGAGTGCGGCAATAATGCGTCACATAACTTACATGACATAACTAACATCACGCCTTTTATCCCCGAATGGTTAGGCAGAGGTGCACATTACGGCAGTTAATGCCACTGTACAATGTAACACCCACTTTCCACTATTTATGTTATGAGTTTCATATAATAGGAGGTAAGCCTATTGCCCCATGCAATTCTGGGCACCGTTCTACTACTGAGATCTTTTTTTAAAACCTATTAATACTTTGGCCGCTGGGAATCGAACCCCTTGACCCATTGCCCGGCAGTCGCACTTGCGTCCACTCGGCCTAACGAGGCAGTCAATGCATCACATAATATCTTATTATAATTAATTTAACTGTAACTAGAATATTCTATTGATATTTTTCATTGTAAAAAATATCCTTTACATGGAAAATAAAGGTTACCTAATGTCCAATGAAAACATCAATGTATAATCCTATTTTTTTTATTTCCAGGTGTCACAAGTCTTCGAGACGTCATGCTTCTAGTTGAGCCTTCGACAGTTATCAGGGGTGGCACAGCAGCGCTAATTTGCTCTCGAGATATGCAGGGGGCGCCACTATACTCCGTGAAATGGTACAGAGGCAACCATGAGTTCTACAGATATACGCCGATGGAAGATCCAGACACCAGAGTGTTTGGACTGCCTGGGATTTATGTGGATGTAAGTGGTAATTCGACATGTATACTAGATTTTGTGTTAAAAATTAGAATTCCTATTCTTTTTTTTATATAATGTTACAGATTAGACCACGGACTCTCGGTCCGTGCTCTTGTCATACAATTTTTTTATTATTATACGTCTAATCAATTTTTATAAAGTAAAGAAGGTACCAAGTTACACACTACACTACTAGAATTCCTATTCGTTTTCATATGAAATCTCTATCTTGTTTCCCAGTGGAAATTGTCGCGAATACGAAATACGTGACGGGAACTTGTCAAACTAACCGTGTATGTGTAGTTCTCTACACCGATCATAGATGGCGTTGATGCTAAGATTCATAGATGAATGTTTTATCATATTGTTTCTCTTATTACCTTTGCCCCGAGGGGTATTGCTATATTGTTAATTGGTATTATATGACTAGTATATACTCGTGAATGGATACCACGTATAAATGAACACACATGCTTCTAATATGAACTAAACAATTTGTAATTCACACGTGTCGTGTTTCTCTTCCTTATTATCTTAAAATATATTATAATTCATATTCATAACATACTTGATAGTTTTACTTAAAATGTTTTACAACTCTTTCCTTAGGAATAATTTAGCATAGGTACTTTTTTGACGGTAAAATTCCGGACATAATTCTACAATAGAGATGATGACAGGGTATGAAAATTAAAATGTAATTAGTCCGTCAGTTAGGTAATGAAAAAATATTAGACACGTATTTTTTTTTTAGATATAACGAATCAAAGTTTCGGAGTGGGGGCTAAAACGTCATTTCTGCGTATAAAATGTACATAGAAGTGACGTCGCGCGACATTTCAAATCAATAAAAATAAAAATTTGCCATCTACCCTATTAATGATAGAAAACCTTTTTTTCTCTATAAAAACACTTATTTTCTCTCAAGTTGACAATAACGCGTACGACAATAAAGTAATAATTTCAATCGAATTTTTTTAACTAGGCTTTGCTCTTCACAATTTTAAAGACTAAACAACTCACGAGAGGGTACTGGTTACCTCTTCTCACTCACTCTATTATAGACCTTATTTCCGATGTTTAGAGACTACTTTTGCAAGTAGTTAATATACGTAATCATGGTAAAATCATCATCATATAAACCAGAGCAGAGTCGTGGTGGCCCGGAGATTTAAGACGCCCGCTTCTCATACATGAGGGTGCGGTGTCGAAACCTACCAACGACAAGTACCAATGTGTCTTTTTCCGAGTTATATGTACCTACTTTCTAAGATTATTTAGACACCACTGACAAACGGTGAAAGAAAACACCGTGATTAAACTTGGACTTATAACTTCTAATTATAAGTTTGAAATCGCCAACCCGCGTTAAGCAAGCTCGGTGATTAATGCTCAAACCGTTTCTGTGCGAGGCTTTGCTCGGCAGTAGGCATTTATAGGCTGTTAATGATGATGTTATGAACTGCAAGACGTCCATTGCAAAACATAACTGCCTTCCTAAGTTTCCTAACTCATTTTTTTTAAACCCAGTTAAAAGTTACAATACCATATTTCAATTTAACATGTAAAACTTAAAGTTATATCAAATTATATTATAAAAACCAATCACATTAAATCATGGAGTTCAATCACCTTAGATTAAAACCCACCCTGGAGGTACATAAAGATAATTAGGGCCTTACCTTCCAGTATGTTCCTACTCCTGACTCGATCAGGGACTGATTAAAGATGCTATTACACGGATGAATGAGGCTCGATAGCACCAATCTAATTCTTTGGAGTCACCTGCTATAAACAAAGCGAACGATCTGAGAGTTGAACGGAATGGTGTAGTGATTGTGAAATTACTTTTTTGCATCACATTCTATTTTTGGGTTTTACTGCCGCGTTGGCCGAATGGTCGCAAGTGCGACTGCTGGGCAAAGGGTCTGGGGTTTGATTCCCGGGTCGGGCAAAGTATTACTGGGTTTTAAAAAAAAATTCAGTAGTAGCACGGAGTCTGGAAATGTGGCCGGTATATGGCAATAGGCTCACCCCCTATTACAGGGACTCATAACATAAATAGGTACTGAAAAGTGTTTGTCATAATGTGCACCTCTGCCTACCCCTTCGGAGATAAAAGATAAGGCGTGATGTTAATATATTCAATATATTTTTTTAGTTTTCTTTTGAAGTTGGTGGATACGTTAAAATAGGGACCACTGTAGATTGATCTCAATGATATACTAATGTTTGTTGTAACAGATTAGGTCTGGATGTTTCCACAAGTTCCACAACGAATTCAAAAACCAAGAAAGTTGGCGGGAACGCGGCGTTCGAACACGCTCACTCACTCAACGTTTCGTTGGCGCGAGCGCGGGGCCCGCTCGAGCGAGGCGTGGGCGGGGCTTCGAATTTTGAATTTTAGCGCGAACGCGAGTTCACTACGTTACCATACTACCATTTTTCTTATCGCGCTACAAAGGAGGTTTTTACATAAGAGTTACCTATAGTTGTCTAGTTAAACTTTGAAAATATGTGTCATTGTGTATTTGTTAAGGACATACTGGAACCAATTTATAGATTTTTTATTGAGAACGTAAACCAATTTCCCATTCCGCCAAAAATAAGAAGAATGAAAAAGAAGAACAGCGTTAACTAAAATTTAAAACTATATACAAAATTCATTGTCAAAGCAAAAATGAAACTAGACGAGAATTTGTTGTTTCATTACCTAAATAAATTTAAAGCAGATAGAAAGAACACACTACCAAAAACCGGTTTTATGGCCAATGAACGAAAAATTTGCGACCAAACCTTCGAAAATTTAAACAAAACTGGCAGTTTCACGTTTGAATACGGTCAGCTAAAAAGTGAATGTACAAAAACAGGACGACAAAAATCTGGGTCGCATATTTTGTAACTGTTTCAAAATATTTTTACTTACTCGTTGGTTGTTTTTGCAAACGTTGTCGCTACGGAAGAGAACCTATTCTCGGGTTTAGTAAAGTATTACCAGGTACACAAACACATACACTACACAACAATTATGAATAACACATACAATACACACAACAAATTTGTTCACAGATAGTATAAAATTATGAATGTAGTACGTAGTATCTTATATTATTATCTTATACTATTATATAAAGCGGAAGAGTTTGTTTGTTTCTTTGTTTGAACGCGCTAATCTCCGTAACTACAAGTCTCATTTGAATAATTCTTTTTGTGTTGGATAGCGCATTTATTGAGGATGGCTATGCTATAGGTTGTAAAACATCACGCTACGACCAATAGGAGCTGAGCAGAGCGTGTGAAACTGCGCGGAAGTAGCTAGTTATGTATACACACGCATGCATTGCACAGCACGGCTGCCTACTCGATAAATATAAAATATATTTTTATAATAAAACTTTGCCCCACACTAGGATTTTATCCTATGCCGTGGGTGCGTTTACAAACATACAAGTTTACATACACATGACAAATTGTGGATCACACAAAGAGTTGCTCGTTAGAGTCGAATCCCTCATCTATACTTGGTAAGATTGACTTACGGTACAAAATCCTGTTATCATACTATTTTCCGAAACAATATTTGCTACAAAGCACGAAAGGTCGGCACTAGTCTTACTTTGCCAGATTGAATCGATAAAGACCGAATCGAGATTGAAAACGATTTTCGAAGTGCGATCCATCGAGTGTATAGTGCTGTCTACTATTCATTACAGCGGAATGAGGTTTTTCAAATCTCTTTTATTGTTGAGGTGTTTTAAAGGAATATCTGGAGGTGGATACTTTGAAATCCATTTCAGTTATTTACTCTCTGTTGTAGAAGTGTTTCCTTGTACGATTTGTGTTGGAAACGAATGTTGTGTGTGGTTTGGTGCTTTGTAAAAGTAAAAAGGAAAAGTTGAAACATAATTTCACTTTTACTAATCAATGAAAAGGTAGTTACTAAGTGATAAACACGCTTAGGTAGGCACTTTAGAAAATCATTATGCAATTGTGAACTACTCAACAAACTAACACTAGCCACAAACAAAAATCATAAATGTTGAAACATTGTTCACGATCAACTATCCTGTTTATCATTCAAACAAGCGCCAACAAAACAAAAATAAATTAAATTGTCCTTACAACTTTGTTCGTGGTCTACCAATGACTAAACGAATTTACGATTTTTATTAATGGCATTATTAATGGGCTATAGAAATTTTAACAAGCATTAGCATAAAAGTGAAACATTCTGCCATGAGGTCAACGAACCCTGACCTCGCCGCTTAAATACAAAATAAGTTTCAATCAGTTGGAAAATTTAATTATTTTGACGAAAATTTTAGTAAATTCTGTGAAACATTGCTAATAGCGATGAAATTCGATTAAAATGAAATTATTTGGTCTTTTATACATAATTCGTGTTGAATAAATGATTAATTATTGTAATCCGTTTCAGTATTATAATAAGTAGGTACAAATAATATTATTATTTGTGTGTATTCATGTATGAAATTACTTTTATAGGTATTATTACTGAGAATATCAAAATTATGGATTTGATTTCCTCATTACTATAGCGACTAAAATATGAACATAAGATCATGACTCGTAACTTTGTTCATTATTATGTTTTCGGCTTATTCACGTAACTGTTTGATGAGGAACTCAACTAGTTTCAAGCCCTACTAGAGGTTCATAATATTCATAGCAACAGCGAGTAGCAGCGCGATAGTCGCCGTGTCGCAGGTCGCGGAATATTTGAAATAGAGGGGTCAAAAGTGGCACGAAGTGGTTCGTGTAAAGATACACTGTGGCGCGCGCTGTTTGCTGAACTTGGCTGACGCGCGGCCGCGCGTCTCGATTTATGTTAGTAAGAAAATAAAACATAATAATTAATTTAGTATTTCTCACGAAAATTTTAATATAGACAGGGAACTTTAAAAAATATTGTCACGCAAAGAGCCGGCAGTAAATGTTGCAGTAGGTAGTAAGGTAGGCTCTCGCGCTCCCGGCACACGGGCGCCCGAACATAGCCGAACATCGCTCGCACATGCGCGGTCGCCGCATCTCCGCACGGTAGGCGCGATTTTCGGTCGCACGAACCTTGCGATCTTTTCCGAACGTCAATACGCATGCGCGAGACGCGCGTTGCCTGCGGCGCTCAAGCAGCGAGCAAGAGTCCGCCATAACACTAGCCGCGAAAACAGACGCCTGCATCGCAGGCCTGCGTCGCAGGCGTCTGTTTTACATACGTACATAAAAGTATTTAACTACGCCCTACACTGGCCTGCGACACGAATCTTCGATGACGGTCGTCGTAGTTTAATTTCTGCATAGTTTCATTGTTAGTGCTTCTGTTTTATACCTACCTAAGTCTCAATAAGTAAATTGTACACCAAGTGATCGTAACTGTTTTTGTGAAATGAGATTAAACGATTTTGTCAAGTTTACAATATTTATTTAAAATTGATAAAACGTTATCATTATTTGTCAGGAAAGGACAAAGGGGACATTAACAAACAGTCATTCTCTCAGGATGACTGTTTGTTAATATAATATAATATAAAAATATTAAAAGATATTCGTACTAAAATTCCAGATGAACAGATCCAACGGTACTCAGGTGTTACTACGAAGACTGGACCTCACGTTGGCTGGGAACTTTAGCTGTGAAGTTACTGCGGACTCACCGTCCTTCGCGACGCAGATTGCTACCAAATTCATCGACGTTATTGGTAAGACATTTTTATACTTTAACTCATAAAAACATCTTGAACATCGGCCTAATATCGAATGAAAGATCCTTCAGTAAAAGTGGAAGATATCTACTGCCAGTTTTCTATACCAAAGACAAGTTGAGCAAGTTCTTAAAAAATAAAAGATCATACTCTTAAATAACTTCATATATTATCGTCTTCATTATTCCATTCTTTATGTGATGGTCATAGATCTATTCCATCTACTTAAAGTAAATTAAAAATAGACACATACCTACATACGATACATAACATCATTTTATCGCCGAAGGGGTAGGCAGAGGTGCCCATTACGGTACTTAATGCCACTGTACAATGTAAAACCCACTTTTCACTATTTATGTTATGAGTCCCATGTAATAGGGGGTGAGCCTATCGCCATATACCGGGCACAATTTCAGACTCCGGGCTACAACTGAGATTTATTTTAAAAACCCAGTAATACATTGACCAACCCGGGAATCGAACCTGAAACTCGTTGCCCGCCGTTGGCTGAGTGGCAATAAGGCAGTTAAACATGCTACATACCAATATAACATTTTTTACAATTTTTATTTGTCTATCTGTATGTATGCTTGTACTGATTAATCTCTGGAATGGATGGACCGATTTTGCTGGACTTTTATTGGCTGGTAGCTGATGTACTAAGGAGTAACATAGGCTACTTTATTTTGGAAAATTTAAACAAAAAAAGGTTATTTTCTAAAATTAATACTCTACGCGGACAAAGTCGTGGGTAGTTATAAAGCTGGTTTTAAATATGCAGTATATAAACACTATACTATGACAACATAGCAACATTAAACTATAACGTGGTAAAAATGACATTAATAAATATAATCTAATCTAATCCAATCTAATTTCAAACAACAAATAATATCCTCAAAATAAAATAAATTTAAATCACATACCCATTTTTCATCTCAAAAAGACGTAATATAATTCCAACTTATGATACATTCAATCTAAAAAAACATGGTCCGAAGTAAGTATCCCACAGTCACACAAAACATGTACGGCTGCAGTAAGTACCGACTACCGACGATGTATCTATTCAATTTATCCCAGTTATAGAGTTTAGTTTATGGCCATTGTAACAGGTGTTGCAATTTGTCGCTATATCAAAATGACACACACACTATCACACTTATTATTTATCTGTCGAACAGACTGCAGCTGTAGCCAAATGCCATTTAGCGCTTGTCTACTTGTAGAATAGAAAACTAAATTATATTTTTAATTGACGTAAAATTTGGCACTTATCAGTGTCATCCCCATATATTTTGATTTCTACTCCCTCGGTAGACAAGCGCTAAAGTGGCGTTTGGCTAAAGGCACTAGTATTGGTTACAATGGCGACTAGCTTTTGTTTTTATTTTATAGATAAAATTTGTCTATAGAATTCGATTCACTGCATGGTTGTTGCCACAGAAATATTAAAAAATATATCTGTGGTTGTTGCGGCGGCTTGGCGACCGGCTCCCGCGCAGCGTGTAGCGGGGTCGGATCACTCGTGTATCAACTCTTTATTTGATTCGCAAATTGTTGTTTTTGGTCTAGATGTCACGTGTAAATGAAATTGTATTATAAATGCACTAAGGAGAATATCCTAGGGTGGGGCAATGTCAATGGCAAAGATAGGGTTGAAATAAAATATGGCTTTTGAACGACTTTCAATACCAAATACTTGGTAGTCTTGACAGTTTGAATATATGGTGTTACAGACACCACCGAGTCATTTCCATATTTGTCCCGAAAATACCATTATTTTTTTAAAGATAAAAGTGTTATTGAAAAATAAAACGTAAATAAAATACATTTAAGTCATAAAATCTGATACCCCAGGTTCAATATTGAAATAAGATTACAATAACTTTCAGTGGTAGCTATTCGTCTCGCTACTGGGAATCAAGTAAAAACATTTTCATTTAATACAATTTTAACAGAACAAACGATCGCCCACTACAACGATAGCAACGTACTTTCGGCATATTGAATACAGAACTAAATAATAATAAATAAATAAATCTTTATTCATTATAAGAAATTGGTCATAGTACAGATAAACATCTTAATTTAAAATCAGAGATCTCACTAGGTTTGAATGCCTGTACTAGGAAGAATATCCTGTATCACAGGCGAAAGAAGCACTCACAATATTACTAATTCTAGGTCAAGTAATTTATATAAACAAATTCCTTAACATAAGTAATCGATCAAAATTAAAGTAAAGTTGATTATTTAATATACATACATACACACGAACATATGTAACTACTTAACATTTCCCGACACAACTACCCGAATTTCTCGAATTTAAATTATGAACGTTATTATTTTTTTTTTGGTACTAAGTGCTTGTTCACACTGATTGCACAGTTATGAAATATTAAACATATAGGGCAAAATATCAACAGGAGGCTTACTCATGAATCCAATTGCGATCGATCGACATTGTTTTTGCGAAATTTTGTACTCTTGAGTTGGAACACTAGCACCCATTGTATCCGTATTGCGTGGATATTGAATGAACTAAATGGCATTGAGTTTGTCTTTATATTCAGTACTCTGAATGCTATTGTAACAGCTACGATTGTGGTTGTAGTGTTGACATTGAATAATTATTGAGATTTTATTGAATTGAAATTGCATTGACATTGAGATTGGTTCAGTAAGCACCCTAGACATCCAAGTGTTCACATTTACGTGAACACACAAGCAGGTGCGATGTAAGTCGCAACAGTGGTATCAAATACCTAAAGAGGTTTTTAAGTATGTCTTTGCTGCGAACTAGTGGCGAAAAGCTCGATTCACTACCGTTGTCAGGTAAGTTCAAACGGTTTTAACTTGTACTCGCGCAAGCGCCTGGCTGTCAACGTGAACACAAACTCGTGACGTCGATCGCGTCCATACCTGCTACCGCGCCCGCGCGTTCCTCTGTGAACAAGCATTATAACAACCATTTCATCGTTTTAACTTAATTTTGCAACCTAAGTTTATTTGTAGTTAAAGTGATAAAATAAAAAGTTTTAATTAACTGGGAATGCTATCAAAATTACTTAGTTAAGTAGTTACTTGAACGTGAAAAGATGAAGGGTATCAAGGGAAGTTTTGAAGAACATTGTTAGTTTCAGATTGTTCAAGTTCTTTTTTATACTGAGTTTAGTTTATGAAATGAGATAAGACGCGAAAACAGACTACGTAGGTACCTGAAACTTAAATGGGTCGTGTTTAAATTTTAGGCTAATTAAATTGGACATTGAATTTAGACCCTTTTGTTTTATAGAGTAAATTCTAAATGTATGAATAAATATTTCAGTAATAAAAACTTTTCAATGTGTAGTTTTCATTTGAGTACATAACACATATATAAAAAAATATATTCTATACTTACCCAGTTTTAGTACTCAATATTGGTATAATATTATTATGGTTGACAGAATATATTATGAATCCACATCTTATATAATAATTAGAAAAGTTATAGGTATTTAATACATCACCAACTTCAGTTTTTACTTTATTGAACCCGAGAATATATTACTATTTTGAAACCGAGGTAGCAATTCTATTTTCAAACGAAAAAAAAAATGCAAAAAGAAGAAAAAACTTCTTTTTTTCAAATAATAATAATTCTATTTTCAAACACATAACAATGACAAAAAGAGCGAATTCTTCTTACTTTACAGTTCCCTTTGCAACCAATAAGCCAAGGAAGAAGACTATCATAATAATCGATTTTAGTCCTTATTCGCTCCCAATTAAGTAGACTTTGCTAATGAAAATTTAATTTAAGCCAGTCAATAATTTCTGGCGGATCCTCGCCCTTACTTTAACATGGTTCAGTAAAAGTTTTACAATGTCATAACAATTTTATGGGTTCCTTCATAATTTAGTCATTCGAAAGAGTAACGCTTTGAGATTTTAAATTTAAACTCAGTACTTAAGCAGTTGTCGAAGTTTAACTTCAAATATAAAAATGAATATTATGTAATATTATTGTTTGATTCATTATAATATGTAGTTAAAGTTAAGCATCATTAATTGTAGTTGATTATAAGATAGAACAATAAGAAGTGTGGGGGAGGCTTACTTCGGCACGAATGGGCCGGCTCGACCGGAGTGATACCACGACCTCACAGAAAACCGTCGATAAACAACGCTTGCGTTATGTTTCGTCGTGTGAGTGAGGTTACCGGAGGATGAATTACTCCCCTCCCCAATCTCCCCAATTCCCGAATCGTCAACAACCTCAAATTCTTAATCTCCAATAGGCCGGTAACGTACTTGTAACGCCTCTAGTGTTTCGGGTGTCCATGAACGGCGCCGATTGCTTACCATCAGGTGATCTGTCTGCTTGTTTACCGGCTGATCCCATAAAAAATATTTCTTTATTTATGTATGTATGTTTTTGCTAGTTTCTTATGATTACATGGTCCACTAATGGTTCCTTTTCTGATATAGTAAACATATATCTCTCTTAATCATCAGATGACTTCAACATCACTTGATTACCGAAGTTTAGAGGTATAATAGGTTGGGCACAGTAACACAGTATCTCAGATTTAAGCAATTATTTAGTTAGTGAATTTACTAAAACTACAGTACTTATTGAAATAAATTAACACATAAATTCTCTCTTTGAAATCTCTGATTTCTAACACTGACCACATATCATGCACTGAAAACCATTCATTTTAAATGTGGAACTAGTAAAATTAATTCAATTTCTATCCCAGCTGCAGTCCGACCACCAAATAGAATTGGGAAGATTCTAATTCCATTTCCTAGAGTGTTTGGTCATAAAATTTTCTCTATTGTTATTTTATGGAACATAAAGTTTGAGATATCAGTACCGTTATCGACGACCGATCTCGTATTTATTAGGAACTGTATAGGCTAACTTTGGAAATATCCTGTAGTCCGTAATTGGATAGTTGTCGATAGTTCTGCGTTTTGAATTCGGAACTTTATGGTAA